TGTCATCGAATCCTCAAGAGATATTGCTCCGCTTCTTGGAGCACTGGGGATCAGAGATGGGAGATCCCGCCAGTCAACAGGCAGAGCTCATCCACCTGACGAGACCAAGCAGCGCAAACTTCTGGACTCTATCGTTAAAGTAACATCAGAGTTGGATAGGGACATACTAAATGCACCCGTGACACCTTCTGACCTCGCGAGTGCGATCAAACACATGAATGCGACTTCAGCACCAGGGATAGATGGATTGACTGCTGGTTTCTACCTGGTGGCTCCAAACTTGTTTGGTGAATGCTTGAGTATCGTCTTCCATGACCAGCTACAGCGCGGAATCCTGCTTCCGTCTCAGAGCAAGTCTACCGTCGTGTTTCTCCACAAGAAGGGGTCAAGAGCACAGCTCGGCAACTACCGTCCAATCGCACTGATCCCGGTAGATGTCAAGGTACTGTCCAAAGAACTGACGTACCGACCTCAGCAAATTATCCCCAGCTTGATCCGCCCCGATCAAAAAGAATTCGTCAAGGGTCGCTCGATTCACTACCATGTGCGATTTCTCGCGGATCTGCAGGGATTGGTGACAAGTCAAGACGAAGAAGATTATGCCCTGTTCTTGGAATCTGAAAGAGCATTCGATCGAGTGAACTGGGACTTTATGCTTCGTGTGCTCGAACAAATGGGTTGTGGTTCAGAATTTACACAGTGTGTGGAATTGCTGTACACCGATTCACAAGCCCACCTTGTCATCAACCAAAAACATCCAGCCAGCATTGTATCCGACAAGAGGAGTAAAACAAGGCGATCCGCTTACTGCGCTTCTCTTCTGCTCACTATGAGCCTCTCGGAAGCCGTTTGCGACCACATGAAGATTTTAAGGTGCGCCTCAACGATGATCACACGTCCATCGGTGCTTCTTCGCTGACGACACGACTCTCCTGGGAGGTTCCATAGCGAGTATACAAGCTCAGCTTGGGCTCGTGGAAGAGTACTGTATGGATTCTGGTGCAAAACTCAATCTTGCCAAGTCGATGGCGCTGAATCGAAACGAAACCTGTCATCAGCTCCCTGGTGTGCATGTGCTTGATCGAGCCGAGTCTTTCACCCTTTCAGTCAGTTCCCAGTCAACAATGACATTGTCAACTTTCTTGAGCAACGCTTCTACGACGGCTTCAAGGTGTAGTGCCGAAGCGCAAGGACTCTTTAGGGTCGGCTATTGGTGGCGCAAACGATGGTCTTGTCTCGCCTGTGGCACTATACACAGCACGTGTCGATTCCAC